TTGTTGAAGGAGAAACATTACTTGCGTGGTCGTGGTTCTTGTCTCATTTGCGGTTACATGTTACAAACAAAGAAGGGATATGTTTAATATCTAATCGACATCGTAGCATTAAATCAGCCATTGACAATGAGGTAATTGGTTGGAGACCGCCAAATGCATATCACAAGTACTGCATTAGGCACATTGCAAGTAATTTTAATACTCGATTCAAGGATGTGAAACTTAAACAAAAGCTTGTGAAGTTAGGTACGTATTTTCTATCTCTGTAATACATTTCATTTTCAATAATACAGTATCTTTCAATTTTATTTCTTGGTCCCTGACGATGATCTAACATGTTTGCCTAGTTGACATGACTCAAAACCTAACTCTTCCAATGGCTTGAGACTAGGAACTAAGAGTTTCAACTTGGACAAACTTGGATGACCCAAACAATCATGCAAAAGCTTGGGTGGCAAAACAGCAACACAAGAGGCAGATGGTTGCATTCCAAAATAGTAGAGACCACCAAATTCATGTCCTACGCCAATCATCCTGCTCGTACCACGTTCCTGAATGACACAAGATTCAACATTAAAAGTTACTTAACAGTTTAAGGATTTAGCCAATTGACTCAAAGAGATTAAATTGAAAGGACAATTAGGGACAAACAAAACAGATTTTAAATTTAACAAGGGAGAAAGGGAAACTTGACCAATTCCTTTGGGAACAATTTTGGATCCATCTGGTAAGGTAATAAGATGGAGTGATTTAAGAGGAGACATGGAAGAAAACATAGAGTCATTACTAGCTATGTGATTAGAGGCACCTGAATCAATGATCCATGGACTTTGACTTGTAGTTAATTGAGAAATACAGGCTGTAGAAACAGTAGTGGTAGAGGAAGATTGAGCTTGGCTCATGGCTTTACATTGAAGATATTCTTGATAGTCATCTTCAGGAATCTTCCTATCAGATTTTTCTGATCAGACTTGGATAGATTTGCTGTCTTTTCTGGAAAACCATGGAGAGAGTAAGAATTCTCTTGAGTATGACCCATCCTTTTGCAGTAGGAACATTGAGGACGACCACTTCTCTTCCTCGGTTTCCACGACCACCTCTTCCCTTGGAAGAGACCATAGTAGAAGCTTCAACAATGGCAATAGAACTTTCGTTCTTGGCTTCAGTTGGAACCCGAAGCAATCTAGTAACTAGGTTGTCCATTGAGAGAATTTCATGACCGGTCAGGAGTTGATCACGAACATGATTAAAATTTGAATACAAGGTTCATAAAATCATCACCATATATAGCCTATCAAGTTTTTTCTTCATTCCTTCCAATGACTCATCATCAAGAAACAATTTTAGTTCATCCATAGTTGCTTGAGCTTCAACCACATGAGAAACCATATCATGACTAGTTTGTCTCAGAGAGGCTAATTTTTGTGCAACATCATATAGCCTTTGAATGTCATTAGCATAAATATTTTGAGTCTTCTTCCAAAAGGAGCAACAGGTTTTAAAGGCTCTAAGTGTTCCCAATATATTGGATTTGTAGGATTGCCACAACACCACACATAACTGAAAATCAATCTTCTTCCACTGAGCTTTATTCTCTGTTGACCGCTAAATGTCTTCCTTTTGTAGGTGGTCAGTGTCATTGACCAAGAAACCAAAGTTCTACAGATGCAGCCCATGACAGATAGTTCTTCCCATTCAACTTTTCTATAGTAATAGTATGTGTACCAGCAATAGCAAGGGCAGGTCCTGAAGCAGCCATGGAAGAAGACAAGAAATAGAGACAAGGAGAAGGAGATGAATAGTGACCGCGACCCAAACAACCACTTGGAACAGTACACAAAGGTCTAAAACAGACCCAGAAAGTGTAGACAAGTACAACACTGGCTCGTGGCGGACTTCCGGCAACCAGAAGGCAGGGCATGAGATACATGCTCTTGGCAGAACAAAAACTTGGGGTAGCGCGTGCGGGCGCGTGGTGGCTTCGATGCCCTCGAAACCAATAGGGTTGGTCGCTCTCAATGAGGCGCACCAAACCCTAAGGTTGCCGGAAAAGTTAGTCACCGGCGACCGGTGGCGGAGGACGGTGGAGGACAGCAGCGGACGCGCGGCGGACAGCGGCGAATGACAGAGCGGGATCGGACCCGCTCTGATACCAACTTGAATGTTAGGATCTAAGAAAAATAGTGTGTATGACACACTTTGCTTTCCTTTTCTCTATATATCAATATAGAAGATTGAGTACATAGATTGGAAAGGCCTAGGAGTCTAAGACATCACATCAGACATACAAAAGAAATATTAATAAATAGAAAAGGCTTTTCTAATAAGCTATTCTAACATAGGATTTACAAGAAATTATTGTAATCAATGACCTTTGGTTATAGGTTCAACCTGTTGACACCATAGCAAATAATTCTTCAAATCAAGCTTGTCTGAAACAGTGAGAGAATGTAATGGCATTTGAAGCAATATCCATGAGAGGTGGCGGGGAAGGAGGAGGAAAAAGCGGAAGTTATGGGTGAGAGATCGACCTTGATCTCGATACTATATTGAGAGGATTGAATTTGTATTATTAATCTGGTGAAAAATAATTTTCACTTAATGATACAAGAAAGAGATGCATCCTTATATAGATCCTGAAGTATACATGACAAGCTTACAAAAGGAGCTAACTAAGTAACTGATAACAAATAACTGACAAATGCTTAGAAGAGAAGCTAACTAACTAACAAAACAGCCATTTACAATACAACAGCCCATACAGAAAAGATATAACAGAGTAAAATGCTATATACTCTAATAATATTTTTTAACAAAATTATTTTTTTGTTGTTACATTTTAATTTTTAAAAATTAAAAAACTATTGACTTCTTTCTGCCCGCTTTCATGGCTCATTTGGAGGAAATAATTTTTTGTGGGACCCACAACATTTGCTTCTTATTTTCCCCTTAAACAGACATCAGAAATTTGGTATTTTCCCCTATTTCCTTCCCGCTGAATTTGCTGAAGCGAGTACGGGGATTTAATGACCAGTTTATATGGAATAAATCATGAATGTCTCACAGAATGACAGCATGAGAGACTGGAATTACCAGCAAAAAACAAGGTTAAAACCAAATGCAGTATACCGGTTAAATTTCTCTCTAGTGTTGGATAGTCCTTTCTATTTTGCCACCTCTTTAATATCTGTTATTAGGAATATTAAAAGACACAACAAGTTGGGGGTTAATTTTTGGAGGGAGAAAGGAAGAGAAGAGCCCAGAATGAGAGCTATGCAATGATCACTTTCAGTTGTTTCAGCATTGTTCCTTGTACTTCCATGTCAATCTCTTAACCCCCTTGTTGGGGGTCCAGAGATAGGGGAATTTTGTGGATAAATTTTTCATATACCAAATTCTGATAAAGTCCTATTGGCTATTAGTTAGCTTACTAATTCAAAATGTGATATTTCGTTTCATTCTGCAGCTTATGAAAAATCCATCGACCCCTCAGCGCTTTTGGCTGCCTCTTCTGCATGATTCGGTGAGCTTATTTAAACTGTTAATTATATTCTTGTGTTAACATGTAAATGATAACCTCTTAAAATACCTTTGATTATTGTTTCTTTCTTTTACTGTGCATTAAGTGGACCCGATGTAAATCATTGTGCTGAAATATATCTATCTCGCCCGGTTTTAACTATTCTTATCATATTTTTCCTTTTAGAAATACCATTTGGCACAAGCTTTAACTGTAGTCTTAGTCTACTCTATGCTGATTTGTTATCTTTTAACCACTAATATCTTGTTATTTCTAGCCTTGATAATGAGTTTTCTTGAATAAAGCATCCACCATTCGGTAGAAATCATTCCACATGCTATTAAAGATTCAGTAATTTGGGTTAATTCAATACTATGATCTTTCTTGATTCTAGAGCTCTTAGTACTTGTGAGTTGGAAATCTAATATACTAATTTGCAACCATATATTTTTTTAATTGTTTTTTTTACGTCATCTTTGCCTCTCACATCATGGTTGATTCTCATATCATTGATTTTTGCATGTTATATTTGTAGCATGTGTACTTTACATTTCCAATAATATGTTCTGCTGTATATTTTGCATTAGCCTGTATCTTTGCCTTATTTGTTTCCTTTGGGAACAGTTAAAGCTGCTTAATTGGCAGGATTGCCCTCTTCTAAGTGTCTCCGAGACCAATCTTCTGTTGAACAAACTTCAAGAGTTATCGCTGGCAAAACTGTGCGCCCACTATACTGAACCTAGCTTACCTCCTAATGCACTAAGCTCTATTAGGCTTGCTCTAGCTACAAATCTTGGTCGAGCCATACTTGATGAATAGTCTAACCAATATATATGTTAGTGGCAGATGAATAGAAATATCATTGAACCACCTTTGGCTTTCAGAAGGCACGTGGAAGAGGTTTTTGCTATTCTCCAACGGTTATCACTTGTAAATTTGTAAGTTGTATTTCATTTGAAGAATCAAAATCATTGTTTCAGCAAGAATTTTAACCCACTTAATTGTTTATCTTTTTAAGAATTAAGTTGTTAGTAAATTGGGGAGAGTTTAGCCAATTTTGCTTTTTCTTATAAAAAAATCCAGTACAAGGAAGGAATCAAGCCAGCTACCCTGAAAAGAATTAAGCGCATGTTCGTATCGCCATTGTTACTCATATAGTGTTTATTTTAATGCACTCTTAACATGTAAGTAACAAGTGGGATCTTTTGCAAACATACTTTTGAGGCTCGTGGATGGTAACTTAGTAAAACCAGATAAGCATAAGATGGAGTTTATACGTATCATTGTCTGGAATTATTGTATATTTTTTACAGTAAGAAAATAATTTCCTATAAAAGAATATATATTTATATTATAGCTAGTGTGAGTAGAGATTGAAGATGACAGCAATACGATGGAGAAGGATATGCTACCTAGGTTTCAAATGATGCTTATTTTTGCAAGGCTTATTTGATCATTGAACTTGTTTTTGGTTAAGAATGCCTTCTATCAATGTCTTGGCCGAAAAGTGTTACCGATACATTTTTTAATCCTCTCTTTCTGATACAGTTTCTTAGTTAAAATTTGAGTTTCGTTAGTTTTAGAATAAGACCCACCATAAGGAATGTGACTCTTATTTAGTGACTTCTACATAAATTTTAGTAATAGCTTTTTTCTATAAAGAGTATATTAATTATTGGTATTTATTTATCTTTGATACAAGTTAAGAATGCTTTGAGTTTCTTTATTGAAAAATCTCTTCATTGGAGAAGTTTTCAAAAGTTGTTGTAAGTTTTTATTTTAACAGACTCTTAAGACTAAAAGTATCAATAACTTCTACTTGAAATTTACTTCCTAGGCTAATAGACCGTGGCCTTAGTCTTGTATTATTGGAAATAGAGAAGTGATTCCTGAGATTCCTATATATTTGTTGAAAGTGGTAGTTTTAACGTTATTGTTTGGAGACATACTAATCATGATTGAACTCGGTACAATAGTATTATATCTCAACAAACCAAAACACAAAACTAAAGGCACAAAACCAAAGGCTCTCAGAAAATGAATGTTGAAGATTTAGGGTTTTCTGGGTACATTTTCCTTACTTTTTACGGTTTCGACTTTTGTGGGTAGTGTGCAACTAACTCCCTTTTCCCAATTGAATCTAAATTTTTTCTGTATATCTACAAATGTAATTACACATTTTATATGTTTATATATATATATATTGTTATGGGAATCACCAGAACTGTCCTGGAGTCAAGGTCTTTGGTGAACGTGGGTGGGGATTTTATGTTAATATTGTGGAAATGGGAAGGTTCTAACACGCTGGAGACGGTCACCAAAGTTTGTTGTTTGAGTCTGGGAACATAATTGCCCTTGAGACAATAACCAATTGCCGTACACACTAGGAGCAATGAAACTATGGTTGCAAGCATGTTATTGTTGTTTAAGAACATGTTTTGAGCGAGTTGACTCAATGAGTTGTGGGGCGACTTAAATTGACTCAGAAGGAAACGAGCTCGGTGGGGTGCTAATTACGTAACAAGATGAGATCGGAAGGGGAACAATGCATTAGCCAATCTCCATCAACAAAAAGCAAAGAAATGTTACATGAAGAGACAAACTTAAGGTATGGTTCTATAGTCGCAGAGGTACGACAACGAAGGTTGGGGAAGAACAATTTGGATCCAAGTGGAGAAAATGAGTCGGGTACACATTACCCCAGGAAATTGGGAAAAATGAACCCATGTCATTTTATAAGCATTAAAAAAGAAAAAATATGACAGTATCATACTATTTCCCAGTTGGTGCTTCAATAATCCTCAGTGTTCACTTTTTAATTCTTTTATTTGGCGATTAGGAAAACTTTCGCACCGTAGGATTTATGATGTGCTTGCCCACACTGGCTACCCTCACAAAATAAATACAAGAAGATTTGTAAAGGTGTAATGTGATCGGTAGAATTCTAACAATATTATTTGGAAATCTCTACTAATTTATTAGGAGAAAAAATAATTGGTCTACAAAAATACATTGTACTTAACCTTTAACCAATATTACAATTAATAGTCTAATAATATATGTACAGGACATTACATAAAAACTATCGATATTAAAAGGATCACGATTCATCAAGTTCAATTGAGGAGTATATTATAAGGAAAATACAATTGTAAAGAGTAAGATTGGACATATATTTATATTAAATCAAAAATTAGATGTATCTGAACTAATTCAAAATTCGGATTGATTTAAATTGGATTGCAATAATGAACATCTAATAAATTTGAAATGAATTACAAATTTTGATGTTGAAGATCTAATTCAATATGATCCAATCGATTAATTATTATATATTATTATTATTATTTATATTTTTATAAAGGTTAAGAGTTTACATGTAAAAAAAAGTATGGAATTTGAACTAAATACCTGACTCAACTTTTCACTCATGCTTAATATTATAACATTTTAGTTGACACTTTACAGTCCACATATACTTCTATAGTTATATACTTCTATTTGCTTGATTATGAAGTATATATACATATTACGTCAAACATAGTGGCTTTATATATGCATTGCTCTAATGATTATGTGATTGATTCTCTGGATGAGTTAATTTATTTTGGATTTTTAAATATGGTTATATATACATTGCGTTAATGGTTATGGTGTTATGCATTGCAAGCTCATAAAAAAATTAATTCCCAACCCTTGCTCCACTTGACCATCATGTCTTGCATATCCCATTCGCACCTATTGATTGTATATGCACTTGCGAATTTATTTTGCTTAAGGGTCTTGTGCACCATTAATAGCTTTAACAGTTTATACTTATATAATTCTATTCGATTGATTATGCATTGTTTATAAACTAGTATGTCAAATGGAGTGGCTTTATATATGCACTGTACTAATGATTTTGCGATTGGTTGTTAATTTATTATGGGTTTTTAAATATGGTTATATATGCATTGCATTAATGGTTATGGTGTTATGCATGCAAGCTTATAAAAAAATATTTCCCTAGTATGTCTAACACACTTGACCATTACATCCTGTATGTCCCATTCGCACCTGGCGATTGCAATTACACCTGCTGGTTTATTTTGCTTAAGGATCTTGTGCACCATTAATATCTTTAACAATCCTTGTTTCTTAGTTTTTTCTTCCTGTTATAATGTTCATAATATCCTGTTAAACTTATGCATTAAAATAGAAATATCGAATTCGTACTTAAATCAGTGGCTACCTTTACTTTCTTTTTGTATTGTTATTACCTTGCTAGTTAGGATTAAATATCTTCCCACTTAACAAAGTTGTTGTCTCTCAATCATAAAGCTATGACACGAGCTACAAAGTGCAAGTTTGCTTAAGGATCAATTAAAAATACAATTGAAGAGAAAACGAAGAGAACTTACGAGAAATGTATTAGATATATGGAGATTGAAGTTGAAGATTGTTAGCAATCAGACCACAGCCCAATTGGCCAATGCAAGGCCCAACCGGACTACTACCACACCAGCCCATTTGAAGGATTACATCCCATAAAGCTCACTATGTCAGCATGTTCTAGAATTGCCTAGTCACCATATTTGCCTGTTATTTTCGTTTCATGTTTCTAGAAGTGCTTAGTCACCTTGTTTGCTTGTTTTCGTTTCGTAAGATTCCTTGCCTACAAATCAGGAGGACCCTCTGATTGTAACCAATTTTGTTTTGCATGTTTTGTAATGGCTATATATGGCCTTTCGAATGAATGAAAAGGTAGGCTTAAAATCAAATATCTCCCTCCTTTCTGCTATCCACTCTCAGGGGTTCCCTTAGCCATCAACTAAGGAAGAAACACCTAACAAAGATGATCATAGACATTTTGAGGTGTGGAGAGCAAAGTCAGGAAGGTATCATGTTATTTCTCGGATGGCTAGAGATATTTTACCAATTCCTATATCCGTTGTTTCATCTAAGGCAACATTTAGCACTAGTGAGTGTGTTCTTGATCCCTATCGTAGTTCCTTGAATCCGACCATATAAGAGGCTTTGATCGACACTCAATAAACTAGTTAAGGTCCTCTAACTCTAAGATTGCTTGTAAGTTAAATGTTGCAGTTGCTATAGCCATAAAAGTTGAAATAAGCATGAACGTATGAAAATTCTTATTTTAATTTTTACTTTAATCTTATATTTTAGTTACTAATATATTTTATTTTCTCAAATTATTAGATGTGTCATTAGTGACAGAACATAAGGAGCTAGAAGTAACAATGTTTTTGATACTAGGGTATATAATTTACATTTGTTTACTATTAGAGTTTAAATTTGATTTGTTTAACTTTGTATACTCGAATTGCAGTTTGAACTTACGGGTTGACACTTGGTAGATTTTTGGAGATGGCAGGTAGTAGATTTTTTAGTGTTGTTAGATGGCAGTTTTTTTTTCTTTAGAGTTTTGACTGAAAAATATGGAGTGTCTTGGGGCAGTTGCAATTGACAAATTTGGAGCGACATATTTTGTGTTAATATCATAATGTTAACTATTTTTAAATATCAAATGTTAAACGTTTTAAGTGTGTAGTTTGTTTCCAATGTTAACGGATATACTTTAACTATGAAATGATTGAATCTTGAAAAAACTTTTGTGTTTGTATTTGTATTTTCTTTAATTTCTTGGTGGAAAATTCAACACATTTTGGTGCTCTCTAGCACTCTCCTATGTGTTACACCTTCCATGCCTCGTCACACTTCTCATGTGACTACTACCTCACTTTCCTTTCTTACTCCCATACCCTCTTCACACATTCCATCCCTAGTCACTATAATGACTAGGCAGGTCAATACACTTATTATATTACAATTACTAAGCAGTATAAAATATAAATATTCTAATCTAGGATTTTCAAGTAAATAATACCTAGATATTAATGTAACAGATATATTTATAGGATGCAAAAAAAAAATCCTTATTCATAACAACTATAAAACATAAAGTCTCATTAGGGGTTACAACAGTTCCCCACACATATATACAAAATAATAGAACTAGAAAACAATAAAATTTAAATCTTTGATTAAACATCTAAACAAGCTATGTCAGAAAAGCAACCACAAAACAATGCCATCTCTTACATGACCAAACATCGTGCTCGCCCTCCAGCCTAAACTTACTCCCACAACAAATATGATCATTACAGTCTGACACATGTAAAAACAAGGGTAAGTTTGTATAGAAAGATTCAACATATATATATAGAAAGAAATAAGCTAACAACATAAACTTCATCAACATACAACTCAACAATAACAACTATATCTCATCTTTATACAACACCAAAGGTCAACACACAAGAGATAACTTCACAACACAAATACAACTTAGCAATTTTAACAACTCACCATTCAACGTGATATTCAACTTTAACAACTTTACACCACAACAAAATACAACTTCACAACTTTGCAACACTTCAACTTAACAACATTATGCATTGTAACACATTTCAATTAAGAGATCTCTTGTAAGACAAGTGAGTAGTTTAAGTGATTTGACTTAACCAAACCAATAACACAGAATAACCTATATTCTCTAGGTTATAACAACTTAAGTTTGAATACCAATCCATAATCAACGCAAAATTGATTACTTGGATGTCACTAGTTAAACTAGGAAAGTTCAGTACCACCGTCAGGTATAATATATCTTTAGTATAGGCTCACTACGACATTGAAATGCATTAACCAAGTCGCAATACGAATTAACTTGTTGCCTATCCTCTCGTACTACACACCCTTCCAACACTCGGTTAGGGATTCTAGTCCCATACTCCATGCCTTGCTCTATACATTATAACATAAGCAATATGGCTTGACCTAACCCCATATTGTATCAATTAAGGACCTAAATGAGATAATAATATTTCACTTCAAGAGGAAACTTACTCATTGAAGAGTTTTCAACTTTGTCTTTTAGAGAACCACAACTTATATCCATGTAATGAGATATTTCAATTTTTTAAAAATAATTTTGGAGAAAGGAGAGATACTAAAAGAAGGGTTGAATACAACGAAGTAGTATCGTTACACCAAGGAGTGTAGACAAAGATATAATAATATGAACACAAGGTATTTTTATATTGGTTTGTCTCAACTATCGAGACTATGTCCAGTTCTTGACCAGTTCAAGTTCCACTATCTTTTACAAAGATACAATTATTCTTTTCCCAAGCTACTTCTGGCTCAAACCTAATTGTTCTTTAACTTATCTCTTCAAGCAACTACTTAAGTATTCTTTCAATACAAAGCCTTTCTAGGCTTTAACAACCAACTTTTCTTTTATAGACAAGCCTCTACAAGCTCCAATAACCATGTATTCTTTTATAGATAAGCCTCTTTAGGCTTAAAAACACTAAGTTATAGCTGGATAAGATAATAGTGTTGTTTCATCTTGCTTTCAAAGATATGATATAACCAATATAATACAGAGTTGATTTGTAAAAATAATGAATATGAATATGAATATGTTTTAAAAAATTGGTTCTTTTCTTCTAAATCATCATACTTCCTTTTATAGGTACTTCAATGAAGATGATTATTGCAAATCCTTGAACATCTCTCACAAGCTTGCTTCGTTTGTCTTCATCTTTATTCCTTGTGGAGAGAAGTTCTTTAGTGCATTAAATGCTTGGATTAAATGTATTTCACCAAAATTATCACTTCTTATATGATTAAGGAAGCTACTTATCACCTTTTATGTTCCAAATAAGTGGAACCATGCATGTGTCTGGTTAGAGCAGTTATCAGCAACTTTATTTGACATTTTTCGTTGTAGAAACCAAGTTTTATCCATGCTATTCCTATAAGTGTCGGGAGACTTCTGAAGCAAGAAGAGAAACCCTGGAGGACCAAGGGAGGCACGAAAGCGGGCCAAGATGGAGCCCTGGGAGCCTAGAAGACATTTTTGCACAAAAAAGAGCCAAAACCCTAATTTGGGCTCGGAACAGCCGTTCCCACCCTTGGAACAACCATTCCCAACATAATTTTTCAATGTAAGTTTGCTACCCAACATAGTCGTTCTAGTTCACCTAATGTAGTATTATTCTAAGGCATGGAATGGTCATTCAAGTGTTGGGAATGGTCGTTCCCCTTCCCTAGGTGCCTATAAAAGCGTGCCTATGACTCATTCTCCCACACACCTGACACATTGTATCCCCCTCCCTCTTTGTGATTTCTGAGCTATAGTGAGGTCATTGTAGAGCGAAAGGTTATCCAAATACGCCCTTGTACGAATTTGTGTAGAGATTTATAAAAGCTTGCTTCGAAGGTTCTAAACTCTTTCTCTTCCTCTCTCTTTCTCTATGTTTGCTTTACTTATAACTACTTACATGCAATAGATTAGACACCATGTTGATGATAAAGCATCATGGTGTTGTAGATTAGGGTTAATGTAAATTATTGTACTTTTAATAAAATAAAAGGGGTAGAAATTCAATTACAGTGTTATTATGCTAAATTTGTCACAGGATACCGAATTTGGGTATTGTGGGATACCTAACACCTTCCCTGCGCGTAACCAATCCTCGAACTTGATTTTGGTTATGAAGGCCAAATCAACATTTTTGAAAAACCTTTTCTTTTTTCGATGTTTTGTATAAATTATCGGTGGCAACTCTTTTGAACCCTTTTCAAACCATCAGACGAAGGATTAGTTCAGTATTTGGGCATTCCAAAGCCGATGAGATTTTCAAATCGGAGGTCCAAACCATCTGTGGTCAAGATCAAAATTTTTTTGGGTTCTGATGATGGAGTAGATTGGAGAAGTGGATGATCTTCCTTCCCTTAGCCTCCACCAAACACTAAGATCTCCTTCTTGAGTTGAATTCCAATTGAAGAAGAGATGATGATGAACTTAGATGAAGTAGTTCCTAAAGCTACAGATGGAAGTATCTAAGCTCAAGAACTAAAAGATTGCTCACTCTCAAGTTTAGGAAAGGAAGAATTTCCTAGAACTAAGGCTGAGCAACTCGGTGACTTTTGGGAGAGAATTAGGCTGAAGAAAAATCAAAATTCTCATATATGCAAAAGTGATTACAAGAAGGAAGGATTCAAGCATATATAAGCTCGGTTATGAAGCAAAATGGCGCCAAGGTTCAAGCACCACATGTGGCTCCAAGATTTGAATTCAAATTTGAAATTTGAATTCAAATCTCCACTCCCATGTGCATTGTCGTGAATCTAGGTGCTATCATGCATATCAATTTGATTTATGAAGAATTTAAGGTTGATTTGGAGATGCACATGGTCAGCCACAAGTGGCGCCATCCATGTGACCCAAATTCAACTTAAATGCTTTCTAAATTAAATCTAGTTTAGCCTAATGAAACTATTTAAGTAATCCTTCCATAATCCTATTCTAATGGCCTAAATACAATGGCCAATAAAATACAATGGAAAGAGAAAATTACAAGAATGAAAATGAACCCAATATTGAGTATCAAAAGCCCAAAAGCCCATGAAGCCCAAAAACTAGGCCCACTAAGCCTAAAGTCCAAAATCCTAAACTAGGGTCTATAATACAAGACCAAAACAAAATGAATTCCTACACTAATATCATGCAATAAAGTGGTGGTCATTCATGTAAAGCCCAAGTGAATAGCACCCTAGGCCCACCAAGCCCATTGGGCCCACTAAGCTCTAAAGCAGTCAAATCTTCAAGTAGTTTTCTAGCCATAGCTCTAGTGGTTGGACCCTTGATCCATGCTCTTCCATCATCCCCTCCCTCATGAGAAAGATTCATCCTCGAATCTAAACACTCATCCTCATCATCACTAGCACCTACAAAAGGTTTCAAATCAGTCACATTAAAAGTAGGGCTAACACCATAGTTAGAGGGTAAATCAAGCCTATAAGCGTTATCATTGATACGCTATAAGAATTGAAAGGGTCCATCTCCTCGGGGACTAAGTTTTGACTTCCTTTGTTGTGGTAAACGTTCTTTTCTAAGATGAAGCGAAACCCAATGACCTTCCTCGAAGATCATTGTTCTTTAGCCTTTATTATTGGACTGAGCATATTTCTCATTTTGCATTTGTATATGATTTTTAATCCTTTCATGCAATTTTCGAACAAAATCAGCCCTTGAAGTACCTTCCTTATGTATAAAATGATTAACATTAGGAAGAGGTATCAAGTCTAATGGAGTCAAAGGATTAAATCCATACACAGCCTCAAAAGGAGAAATATTGGTAGTCTTGTGGACTACCCTATTATAGGAAAACTCTATGTGGGGTAAATACTCATCCCAAGATTTGTGATTACCTTTCAAGACTACTCTAAGCATAGTGGATAAAAACCTATTAACTACCTCAGTTTGACCATCTGTTTGAGAATGGCAAGTAGTAGAAAAGAGGAGTTTAGTTCCTAGTCTTGACCACAAGACACGCAAAAAATGACTTAGGAACTTAGTATCTCTATCAGATACTATGGACTTAGGAAGCCCATGA